ATCAGTTATCATTATTTTATTATTTCCAAAACAGTTCTAATACACATGGTTAATATTCTTTTACCAAAAAGTGTTCTATTTAACCTCCTAAATATTGAAATTAGCAATTGATAATACGTAAGTCAAACCCTCTGTTAAGGGTATCATAAAATCGATCAGCCTACTGAAAACATAAAACATAATAATGCATGTGTGGTGATTCTGATTCAGTAAATATCAAGAAATATCAAATGGTAGCTAATGAGCATTTTAAGCAATATATGAACACATACAATATAACACCATAAGGATGTGACAAAATTATAGTGATAAACAATGTTTACATATTAACATATCAGGAGTCAAATCAATTTAGATATGGTAACTACTGTTTTTTTTTTTTTTTTTTTTTTTTTTTTATAATGATCTGATAATGTGTTCATAAGTTATGACTTCTAGTAAATATGGTTTTACCTTAATGCTATGCTGCCCAATCTTATTTTTTGCATGTGTAACTAAAATAAATTCTAAGATTGTAAATATATTAAGAGCCATAATCATATGTAATGTATAATTACATTCAGAACTTCAGACAATATTAAATGTGCACAATTTGCACAGAACAAATACATGCCTACTATATAAATAACACTGTAGCATGCCTAAACCAAGATTATAAAAGGTAGTCTGAAATGAGTTTATATTAGCACTGCAAAACATATCCACTGGTTTTACATATTACAATGATATGTTTGATGTGCATTACCAACTTTCAGGAAATTTAATTACCATTTAATGGCAACAGCAACTTCATTGAATATATCAGTTACAAATATACATTCGTAGTCATCAGTGAAAGAGTACCAGCTTCACATCTGAGAACATTGTGCTAAAAAACTAAAAAATGTGCTGCACATTTGTTAAAGGCTCTTAACAGATGATATACTGTAAGTATAATACAATGATAAAATCTGTAAGAAAATCAAATTACATTTTTCTGCTACGTCTATTCCTATTTGTGGAGTATCACTACAGTTTTAATATAATGTCTTTAAGTGCTTTGTGAAAGCACATCAAATTCATGATTATATATAATGGTTTGGTTCCACAGCTCTTTTTCCTGCAATATTCAAATAGTGACAAAATTGATCTGTATTTTCTGTAGTTTACAATTAAAGCATCTCTTTTAAAAATATATATGTATAAATTAGTAATTATAGTAGACTGTAAATCATCCAAATAAATATAATTTCATGCATGCTTGTTTATTGCTTTTTGATTTCCTTTCTGCCATTCATTCCCCTTTCAGAATCTCCCATACTATATGAATATTGTAAGCATATTATAACATAAAGCATATTTCTTGACTAGGGTTTTCTGTCATCACACCATGTTGATACCTTTACATATTCAAGTCAAATACAAACTCTCTGATGAGTATAAAATTTGTATTTCCAAGACCTCATTCAAGTTCATGAATTCAATATTTCCCATAGAGCTCACAAGAAAGAAGATGAGATTCATAAGTACCTAAAGAACTACTTACTTCACTGAACCAAAGGAATCAATTCTTATATAGTAAAAAAAAATATATAGTACTAAAAAACAAGAAAACAGAGAAAATACTGCAAATTTTATAGAGATGTAGTGAAGTTAAAAGTTACAATATCACTAGGCTCCCTACAGTTTATTAAGGAATTCTGAACTGCATGCTCACAGTGCTAGTGCAGAAGAATTTTCACTAACTGTATAAATGATAAAAATGGCATATACTTTGATAAGCTCGAAATATAATTATAATAATGGTAAAACCTTGGATAAATAAAGCTTTAAATTGTTTCTAAATGGAAAGAAATGGACAATTATCAAATCTCAGGGTCTTTTTTATGCTTAAAGGCACAACTACCATTACTAACACCTTTGAAATGATAAAAAATAATAATGTTAATATCACCGAATTAATTTTATATTTAAAAACACGTACACAAAGAATTGCAAAAATCATAATCATCACTGTAATTTCACACAACCGCATACAGATACAGCAGTCATCCTCTAACCAATTTCATACACCATAAATTATATAGGTTTCTGTGATATGATGTGCTTGCCTACCTGCCTCCTCTTTTAAACAACAGAGAAATGGTCAAACTAAACAATGCATATAATTTTTTAAATTCTTTACTTATCACTGACTAGGATTCATTAATAAACTTGAAATAATATAAAACACTGAACTTCCAGGACCATCTGTGGCTTTGGAGGTAATATAAAAATATACATCATACAGATCTGCTTCCAGACAAAAGGAGATGCATAAGCCAGATTTCACTAAGTAATGGAAACAATAAGGATTGAAATAAACTGAAAAAATTTGTATACAAACAAACAAACACACACAAACACACACACGCACATGCACACGCACACACACACGCACGTGCACGTGCACGCGCACACACACACACACACACACACACGCACACGCACACGCACACGCACACGCACACACACACGCACACACACAAATTATTTTCAACATTCTATTTGTTGGTGATGTTTTTACTCTCCTGTGCACAACTTACATCTGTAAACATGAAGTGTAAATGGATCAGTTCCCTTGAGTTTGATCAAAATATAAATCAATTATATACTTACAGGGCACCAAATAAATATCATAGAAAAAAAACTGAACCTAAAGAAAGAGAAAGAGAGAGAGAGAGAGAGAGAGAGAGAGAGAGAGAGAGAGAGAGAGAGAGAGAGAGAGAGAGAGAGAGAGAGAGAGAGAGAGAGAGAGAGAGAGAGAGAGAGGGAGGGAGGGGGGTGAGGAAAAACAGTGGGAAAGAAAAGAAACAGAGAGAGAGAGTCAGTGCAGGAAAGGCAAGATTTCAAATAGTGTCATCATGGTAATTCTTCATAGCATACTGAAGGTTGATCCATTTCAACTCTTACGCCTATTAAAATACCAAGATATCAAATCTGAAAGGAAAAGCATCTTGATTACATACCTGAGTGTGTGCAGGTATAGTGGTATAGCAATAACAGATATCATGTACCATGCCTTGTTAAGAAAAATACCCATTTACACCACCTCTGAAATATATAAAGCTCTTCATGAGAATACTGGCCCAGATTTCCTCACATAGCACCTCTTATCCTTCTCAAACTCCACACTTCTTCTATGAAGAAAACAATCACTAAATTCCCTGTCATTTGTGTGGGTCTGTGATATTATTCATGGAAATATTGGATAAAAATTATACTTACTTGGATATAAAAAATTATCTAACAGAGTAGAGACTATTTTCATGTTTTTTTCTTTAATGCTAATACAGGCCTGTAAAATGAGTGCTTTAAAACTGATGATACATGGTGATAACTGAGGACTGGTGATAGATAATGATGATCATGATGGTAATGATTGTGATGATGATGAAAATTATGATGAAAACAGTACGGAAAAAAACATTAATAATTAGGTTAGCCTAAACTGACAATGGAACAAACACAGTAAAAGGTACAATGGTATTAATACTGCAATCAAATCTTTCATATCCTTTAAATAACTTGACATTCTCTCCAATCTTCTATCATTTCTCAGCCTGAATGATGCTATACCAGCTAGCAAATCTTTTTAGAGTGATATGATTTTCAACCCATGCAACACTACAACAGTAGATCAATACTGTGCTTCAAAGAATTTTTCCATCTAACAGCAATTCTTCTTGGACTTTCTGGCTTTATTTACTCCCATGAGGGAGGTAAAGGGGGAATATTAATATATATTTCTAGACCACTGACTCTAGTTTTCCCATTCATGTCATCATTCAACTTTGGGTATGTGAGTGTGTATGAAATGCCTCTTATTTCAGCAACCAAGAATCACCCTGCTGAATTCAGGACTTCTGAGGGAACAAGTTGTCGTGCCAGCCAGTCTAGGCCCTGGTGAAGACCCATTCCCGACTGGGCATCACACGGCTGGATGTGCCAGGAGCGGCCTAGGCACAGCTTGTGAACCCCCAAGCTCTCCGTCAGAGCTGCCACTCCAAGGGCACCATCACAATTCTGGAGAATAATAGAGTAATGCAGAGAAACCATGTATGAGTGAATCTTAGAAGACTAAGAACTATCTACATATACAAAAAAAAACAAAACAGTATTACTTAATCCATCAGATGTACATACCTCCTTGTTGGCAAAAATCAACAGTGAAGCATCCTTTAACTCGCGCTCAGTCATAAGTTTGGTCAGTTCCGACTGAGCCTCTACGAGTCTATCAACATCTGTAGCATCCACAACAAAGATGACAGCCTGGGTATTGAAGTAGTAATGCCTCCACAGGGGTCTTAGTTTTGGCTGGCCACCAACGTCCCATACTGTAAACTATGAAAGAGAGAAACAAAATAACACCTGCATTTCAATGGTTGCTTTATGTAATCATCTCCACAGAGACGAAGACAAAAGGTTTGCATTTTGAGCACTTACCTTGAAGTTTTTATATTCAATGGTCTCCACATTGAAGCCTATGGTTGGGATGGTAGACACAAATTCATCTTGCTTTAGTTTGAACAATATGGAGGTCTTGCCTGCACCATCCAGGCCAAGAGTAACTACACGCATTTCTATCCTGGCCCCAATATGAATGCGGTTATCCTGCAAAGCAAAGGGAATGATATTACAAAAAAATATATATAATAAATAAATAATAAAAATATAACAAATAAAAATAATAATAATAACTAAGAAAAAATCTAGCCTCATACTCAGAGTAAACATTCACAAAAGTATAACAATAATGAACAAAAATGGAAATCCCCCCCCAAAAAGACAATGTGTTATAATTACTTTGGTAAACGTGATAGGTATAGCAGGATCTGGAACCAGAGATGCCAAGTTGGCTAGCTGTTGCTCCTGTGAGGTGACATGTGCCAGTCGTGCAGAAAGGTCTTGGGATGCCATTATCAACCTTCCATCATCTTGCTGGATGGCTCGCTCACCATCCACAACTACTGTTACCATCT